CAAATTTTTAACTGTGGGATTTGATTAGTTATTAATCTGCATCCCTTACTGTTAGGAAAAAAATGCATCGAATATGCATGGTTTTCAAGATGTAGAAGGATATACAGATGCTAAAGAAATAAATCCTTAGTAAGTTATTGAACTGAAAGAAAACCTGGCATTGTCCAACAGTCCACCTATCGGAACTAATGTCAGTCTGTGGTGAGTCTTGAGTGGAATCAGAAAGATGCAGCTTAAGTCCAGTAATAAATACTCAGCCCTCAGCACAGTGCCTGCACAGTGAACTCAATAAATATTAGTGGCAATAATAATTTAACAACTCTTCTCAATTAACCAGCCCTGGGATCTTTTATATTCCAGCTTATCCTCCTAATCATTATTAGTTCCATCATCTTTCAGCAAATGGATTAGACAGAGAGAGAAGGCAAAAGTAAAAAAAAATCTGTGAATTTTATTAATTATTTACAAACCCTTATAAAGGCAGAGAGAGATTAGGGTGACCTGAATGGTTAAAATCATGACTAAAAGGTTTTTTTATGAACCTCTCAATGCCATTCTGTACTCCTCAGTACTTTTTAATCAAGAACTGACTGCAGTGACATTTTTGATGGTAAGAAATGTTGAGAAAAGTAAAAAGTGTGTGTGGTTTTCTGCTTCACTTGGCTGTCAAGAGAATTGGAATAAAATAACCGTTTAAAATCAAGAGATGGAGCAGGGGACGCTACTCTGAAGAACACAGTACTTTCAATGTTTCATGAATGTTATGAGTCACAGGAACAGCTACCCAAGGGGCTCCTATCTTGAAGACTGAAAAATTATGAGTAAAAAGGAATTAGAAAAATAAAAGGGTAGGACCATCTCTCCTCCTCTGATGACTACCCTGTAGGCTCCCTTAGGCAGCCTTTCTCTTGGTGTTCTAAATCAATGCTCCTCAAACTCTAATGTGCTTATAAACCACCTGGGGATCACGTTAAAGTGCACATGCTGATTCTGTAAACCTGGATTGTAGCCTGAGATTCCGTGTTTTTTAACAAGCTCCCAAGCAACACTGCCAGTCCAAGGACTGCACTGTGAGTAACACACCTCCATGTTACTTCCATTTAGTATCGTCCCTTATGCTTATGGCGACTGTACATTCTGTACTTTTCAGGGCAGCCTCAACTTTATTGATATTTCATTATTTTCATCAGTCAATTAGTTAGGTAAACTGATGTAATTGTTATACTTTTGGGAGGCTGTTCATATAAAAGATTTCCTTTCTCAGAAAACGTGTCAATCTAGATCATTTCAGTTTGGGATTTAGAAGATAGACTTATCACAAGTGACCTAGCAAATAATATTCTCTCTTCTTTTGAGACTTCCCATTTTACTCCAGTACCCCTTTTTGTGTCTGCATAGCAACTTGGCTAGAACAAAGACACCATTATTTTCTGCTAGTCAAGACAAAATGAGTCATCCTTTAAGGAAGAAATGCTGGGATGGGCCAGACCCCTGGGCGAGGTATTACAACTGAGAACAAGGGAGAATTTGACTTAGGAAACTTTTCTGATGGTCATTCCTGGCTTCCTTCTCTATCAAAAAATAAATTGTAGAAAATCTCTTCTCTGGTCTCCAGGCTCCAAGCTCTAAATCTTGGGCTAATGCATTGATGAAATTTTACTGTGCTCAGGAGAAAAGAGTTGTTTTCTTGCTCTGTCATATACTAGCTGTTTGACATTGGTCAAACTACTTTACTTCACCTTTCTGAGCCTCGGTTTTCTTTTTCTTTTCTTTCTTTCTTTTTTTTTTTTTTTAACGGGGGAAAATGAGGTTAGGGAAGCTCCAAGTTTAAATAGAAAATATATCCCCCAAAGATGATTAGAAAACAAGATTTGCTAGGGCATATCTGGATTCCTGATAATAGTATTTTAAAAGTTGCAGTAACATGTCTCTCTTTAGAGTTAACTCTTCGGCTGAATGCTACTTTTGGGAGTCACCTTAGCTCTCTTGACTTCAAAGTTCATCTCAATAAAGAGAATGAACATTTTTTAATTTGATGACTAAAGTCATCTTTTCCAAACTCTAAATCACTGAGATAGAAATGAGAAACTAAAATAATATTCACCACCTCATTAAAAGAGATGAACAGCAATTACATGGGCATATATGTCAGTCTGGTTTCTCCAAGACCTGAACGAGCGAATGAATAAAATCATGGACAAGTTCTGCAAACCTTGTTACAGAAGGTAAAGTCTTTAGTACCTAAATTAAAATAGAAGCACTATAATTTTTCTCCAGCATTTGAATTACTTTCAATTCATAATTTAAAAAAAAATGACAGTGGATCAGAATTTTAGGAAAATTCAAATTCTGGGCAGGAACACAACACATTATTATGCAGAAGGTGAAAATTAAACATTTACAATTATCTCTAGAAAGCATTTTTGTGAAAGTTTATTTAAAGTGTATCTTGAAGAGAAGAAATATTGACCACAGTGAACCACAAAAATACTTGAGTCCCTTAATTCCATAATGATTTTCAAATAACACCACCCAAATGGAAAACCACAATCCCGTATAAGTGCAATGTTTCCCCTCCCAACTCCCGAGCAAATTCATGGATTCAGACTGATGATTTCAGGTCACAATCATTTAAAAATAACTGTCATTTTGGGTCACCTACAGTACCACGAAACGTGGATGTCTGTGTTTGATTATAGGTCAAAAATTCATTCCAGGAAGCAATCAAAAACTGTTTTAACTTTGAAATATTCAAAATGCAAAAGAAAATCCAAGAAATGAAATGTGCTAGATGATTCTGTTGCCTTTTTCTAATACTGATTTCTAGATGAGAATTGCTAAAATGTGTTGTCTTTAAGAGTCCTAATTAGAGGACCATACTTAATAGCTGCATCTTCTGGACACTATGTAATATCTAGTGAAGGAATTAAACAAAATATATAAGCTTTGAAACTGGTGTCAAATGGGGAAAAAGCTTTCAATCAAGTAACCATAATTTTAGTCTATATTTGAAAAGGAGTTTTCCAACCAAAACCACATGGATTGTGCTCAATGGACTATATACAGATAATTTGTCACTCTGTCTTATATCCACTATGCTCTTTTTATCCATAAGCTCAGTTCCTAGGTAAGAAAGAAAATATTCTATTTTAAAAATATGGAGATATTTGTCTTGGGTAGAATCTCTTTTTGTAGGCTGTCCAAGAGAGAAAAAAAGGGATTCTATCAAAACTAACTTTAGTCTCAAAGTTTTTTTAGTCATTTAGTTTTCTAAAATCATCATGCACAGCAATCTTTTTCATACAATGTCACACACTTAATCTTAGAAATAAAACATTACTAGATAGAAGGAATACATAAAGAGAATTTAATTATTCTCTTACTGTCCATGAATTAGTCATAGAAGCATTATTTTTCTCATTGCATTTCTAATGAGTGAAGACTGACAACCCTCTCTGAACACAAATTCCAGTAACTCAGAACCATGATGAGGCTGAAGAATTTTAAATATTTTCTACACTTAAGAACCGC